CAGGAGTCTACCATGGAAGGTGTACACATTCTAAATCAAACACTGCGGACGGGAATTTACAAAGGATTAGATAGAACGACTTAGTTTTGTCTGGCAGTTCCTTAAGGAGCAACGTTAACAGCAGTCGATACTCGCACTACTGGCTAACCACTTATAGTTGTGAAACGCTTGTCGATTGCTTGTTGCTTGTTTTTGTCGTCACCATTAACTATATCACAATGCTGCATGTATTTTTGGATTAGTTGCTTACGTATGTGTATTTGTGTGATTACTTTCAGTTGTACTGCGTAGAAATTTATTATGTAAGCGAAAATATTCTCTATTTTATTGGACATAAATCTGAGAGTTTTTAAGAAGAATAGCACATCTAGACGACCCGGTTGTACAAGTCAGGCGAGGACATGTTCTAGGACTTCTGGCGTTTATTTCATTGCAGTGCAGTCCTTTAGGAGTATCTTTAAAGCAGAGACGATTCTCAATAAGCCTAACCAAGGGGAAAAGGCTTGGACTCACACAAATGAGACGAGGGCTCAGTTCTTGAAGAATCCATGCTGCGAAGGAGAACATATCGAACCGAATGGTTCTTTGATTACTGAGACCAATGGTGCCTATGTTTTGAACGCTCAGTGAACATGAATATAGTGAAGAAGGAATTAATGAGAAGGAGGGCTGCATTTGGATCTTTCAAAGAAACCACGAATCAACTAAGAGAATGGAAACTGCGTGTTCACCTTTTCAACCTATTAGGTTGGTTACATAATGCGATGAACACATTTCAGGTGGATGAAAAGAACTGTGGAATAGACTTCAAGAAGATGCAAGCATCCTCTCGGACGACTATCCAAGCGCTGGGAAGACTTGTGTTGTGGCTAACGTCAACCATCTGTGTTCACATGTGGAGACGATTTCAGGAGTGCGAAATGTGCGTCGTGGATGTTGTCGTGTTCAAAGCAGATCGCCACCATGGACGACGTTTGAGAGACAAAGACAATGAAAATTACTTTAGGTTGGTCATTTCATGTTAGGACGGTAATCAAATATCGGAACATCAATTTGTTAAAGAAATGCAGAAAGAGCATTCAAGAACTTCGTGTGGTTGTAATTTTTGCCGCTGTGATTTCTTTTGTCGCTATCGTGCTAATGCCAGATTTTTTTTTTTGAGTTTTTATCTGACGGACCTCATTCCCCTGACCCCGAAAGAGCTCCCAATCTCGCAGTGTTGGGTAGGACGATTACGGAGGGGCTGCTAAAATCTCAGGGCCATTGGAAGCTGCTTAGATTACAAAGAACTACGGTAACGATCTGCACCTACAATGCACGTACACTTGCATCCAAGTCCTCGATAGAAGATTTGCTCATGCAAGCAAGAAGGACAAAGTTCGACGTCGTAGGCCTGGCCGGGACGAGAAAACGCCAGCTTCTCAACGCCGTCTGTGATACCGGAGAAGAACTGTTCCTTGGAATATGCGACAGTAAAAGTCGGCGACGGCGTTCTCGTCAACACAAGTTTGTTCATGAAAATCGACTTATTCGAATAACTTATAACCTGAATCGGACGTTTACGATTAAGAAGACGTGGATCAATTCCGGCCTTGACAATCTTCATCCTTTACGTGCCGACATCAAACTATGACGAAGAAGAAGTCGAAGCGTTCTCTATAGACTTGGAGGAGTCCTACAGAGAAGACCACACATTCTTCAAGGACATCATTGGAGACTTCAACGTCAAGATTGGACCAAGAAGAACGTCACATTGGGACCCATGGATTACAATGGAACAGATAGGGAAAACAGGTATCTGAGTTTATCATGATGACAAAGGCTATCCATGGTAACTCGCAATTCCAGAAGCCTCTCCCTCAACGCTGGACGTGAGAGTCGCCCATTGGAGAGCACCAAAACGAAATAGACCACATCATATAGAAAATTTTGCCTAACCGATGTCGCTGTTGTCCCAAAATTTTACACGGGATCAGACCACCGTCTTCTTCGCGTAGGATTCTATTTCTCGCGGAAAGGAGAAAAACCGCTAAATTCAAAAACCGAAGTCCCAGAACAACAGTGAACTGGGACTTATTCAATTCATTAGCCAACTGTTGCAAAGATGTCGTTGTCGATAACATGAATGAGGACTACGATCGGCTCATTAAACACCTTCATGTTAGCGCTATGAAAGCTATGATCGAAAGTCACCAAGAAGACGTCTGCCCCTAGAAACACTCGATCTGATACGCCAGCTTGGAATCGCAGGAGCTGAAGGCAACCATGAACTAACGTCCGAACCCGCAAAACAATGCAGACAGCGATTTAAAGAAATGGTTAAAAGAGAAGAGCAGCAGTAATGGTCGAAGCTGCAGAAGCTGGGAAAAGCATTCGCAAAGCCCACCGAAGCTTCGCCAATTACATCATCAAGATGATTATCCTGCGACACCCATACTGAACGGTTACAGCGTCCAGAAAGGCAATGGAGGGAATCATTTGCAAATATTACTCAGATCTCTTCGATAGTCACGTCCACCTTTCGTCATTTAAAATTAAGGAGGATGGATATATCGCACCACCGGTCCTCCCGTCCGAAATCCGACATGCCATTTCGCCGGTGAAAAATCGAACAGAACTAGGTCCGGACAAGATAAGATCTGAACACCTGAAGAACCTTCCGCCACTCCTCGTAAACACACTTGTTAGGCTGTTCACACGTTACCTGTCTGAATTCAAGGATCCTACTCAGTGGAAGACCGCCAAAATCGTGCTATTGTTCAAGAAGGTTAACCTACTAAATGTCGGCAACTATCGCCAAGTTTGCTTGCTGTCCGTCGTCTACAAACTTTTCACTCGAGTTATCTTAAACAGGATTGACAGAACACTGGGTTAATGATAGCTATGTGAGCAAGCAAGGTTTGGAAAAGGATTTAGTACGATGGAAAACATCCACACGACAACAAGGCTCATTGAAGAAACGCGGGAGTACAAAAGACCGCTCTGTCTCACTTTCATCGATTTACAGAAGACCTTTGATTCAATTGAGGTAGAAGCAGTCATGGAAGCTGTTGATAGGCAAGGAGTCCCTGCTCAGTGCATAAAGATTCTTGGTGAGCTGTACAAAACTTCTCCACGAAGATATCGCCATTCTGCGACGATGTTAACATCGAAGTCAAAGGAGGAGTTACGCAAGGCGATACCATCTCACCAAAATTATTTATTGCCACTCTCCAGAACGTCATGCCAACATTGTAATGAGATAATATGGGAGTGAAAGTCGATGATCGACAAGTACACCATCTTCGCTTTGCTGGTAATATCGTTCTTACAACACCCAGCACTAGCCAGGCGGAACGACTACTTGTCGACCTTGACAACGCTTATGGCAAGATTGGTATTCCCCTAAATCTAACAGAAACGTTGTTTATGACGAAGGGTTTTGTTACGCTTGTCCCCACGCTCAACGGAATGAATATGTCCGAATGCCCTGGGTTACATCTATCTAGGTGGAGAAATAAACGCTGTGAATGGCTTAGCTCCAGAATTGAGCCGTTAGTAGCGAGCGTCTTCGAGAGCTTTCAAGAACATCGAGGATGTAGTTAAAAGAACGAGGAACACCGCACTCCGTACCCACCTTTTCGACTCCGCGATACTTCCTGCCCTAACGTATGCGTCAGAAACCTGGTCGCTAAGCAGGATGAAAGTTCACTCAGCGTTATTGAACGCGCTGTCAAAAAGACTAGTAGTATACCTTGTCACACAGATGAAGCTCTGACCAACGTTACAGATCAAAAAGGAAAGGCGGCGTTCTGTGCGCCAAACAGTGGAAGATAAAGTGGGTCGTACACATAATACGTATGAATGACAACCGATGGACAAGGGTCGTAAGTGGCTGAATTCCTCGTGGTGTGAAAGTGTGAAACGCACTTCAGGGAGACCACCGACCCGATGGCCAGAGTTCTTCACGAAGAGCCTAGAAGAAAGATGTGATGCTTAAGGAGTGCTTAGAGCGACCAGAACTCCCTGAGCTACTCTTGCGCGCGACAGGGAAAAATAGAATTACTGTCGTCCGCTCAAGAAAATTACTCGGCGATCAACCGGTATACAGATACAGTTGGTACAGAAGATACTGGTGATATAAAAACACTAAACATGAAAAAAAAATTGTTGAATGAGGTTTTGATCACGTCTAGATACTTCAGCACACAATGCACATGGATTGTTAACGATTGAAATAAATAGCTACTATAAATAGGTATTGAAGGAGGTACGCACGTGAACTACTTGCCATACCACTTCTACCGCTCACTTCTTTGTCATGCAGCCTCTTGTGGATTTTGCTGCGTCATGTTGCGTACGCTTGACGATCTGTCGCCTTTCCTATTGAAATACTGGTTGCCGGTTTACCGTGCTTCTACATTCAACCTCTGTACGGCCGTCCTATAACATTCCCAGCTACTCATTCTCACGTTCTCCAACCCTTGTGTAGGAGATTTGCTGCGTAACGATTAGGATTCTTACGGCAGAGATTCCTACGACAGTAGCAAATCCCACGACTTGCCGACACTGTAGAAATTCGAATTCCATAATCAGCATTACTGTACATTATTCACTTATTGACGGCACGTTTTGAGAAATAGGGGCTGTTTAATGCTTTTTCTTCTCTTCTTTTCATTTTATTTGTAGTGTATTTTCGCAGTTGTATTTTTTGTACTTACGCAACTTTTATTCGGCTTTAAAAAAGATCATATGCACAGTACAACAAATTTGAATAATTTATAGGACAAAGTTTACAAATTCACCGCAAAAAAACCGCTGCTCACCAATCAATTTTTCATCGGAAGTTTTCTTTCACGACTTTTAAGCATTATATAATATTGTGCTTGTATGTTGGAGACTTCTTGGTCTTTGTACAGAATGGCCACAAAAGATACAAATCAAACTAGACGTAAACGTCGAAGCACTCCTCCAGTATCTTAGATTGGAAAGCAATTGTTTCTTTTTAGATTTGGAAAGGATCAGTCAAAACGCTTGTTGTGAGGATTGAACCGCTTCATGAAGGGATCGAAACGCTTGTCGTAAGGATTGAACCGTTTCATGAAGGGTTCGAAACGCTTGTCGTAAGGATTGAACCGTTTCATGAAGGGATCAAAACGCTTGTCGTAAGGATTGAACCGTTTCATGAAGGGATCAAAACGCTTGTCGTAAGGATTGAACCGTTTCATGAAGGGATCGAAACGCTTGTCGTAAGGATAAAGACAAAATCTTTTTGTGAAAGGATCAAAACGTTTGTCGTACGAATTAGATCGTTTTATCGAAGACTCGGGGTGATTTCGATACAAATCTAGTGTCACCTGGTTCTGGTATTTTTTAGATTGATGTAGCTCTTTAATACCCGAACGAACAGTTTCACTCTTGTCAGAAGTGTCATCCATCCCTCTTCCTGGAATGGACTCATTTTCTCCTCCATTTGATGTCTTTAGAATAGTGGGGTTCTTGTTTTCTAAAATAAAACTTTTTTATTCTAAAACCATACAAATCTTCCATTTTCATATGAATACTGTTTTTGTATGATTGGTTATTGTCCTGCATAAGTGCGGCCGCCTCTTTTGCTATTAAGAAGGAAAAGAGAAGAGTAGTTAACAAACTTTGCACGATGAAATGTTAACACTGTCGTAAAGAACCAATTCTAAAGTTGGTTATTCTTCTTTTTGTCCACACTCGTGGATACATGGATGACGCTCCCATGTATGAAAAGGTCATTTTCGCGAGTGAGTTTGCTGTAGTTGGAGAATCTTCTGTAATCCCTTGTTCCACTTTTAGACGATTGTTGAATTTTTTTGATTTATTGAAATATCGATACTATCTCACGTCTTTACCACAGTTAATCATCGCACATGTCGATGATAGACTTTTTTTGCTAAGGTTTGCTAACTTGCGACTAGGAATCTGTTAGACCGTCGACTTTCATGTAGCGGAAAAAACTGCTGCGAGTAATCTAACTGACTTATCAGGGAGCATGAATCAGACTGATGTAGAAGGAGAAAATTTAGTGCATGCTTTGGTCTATAACGAAGTTCCACTCGGAGCAAGGATCTCGTTTGATTCCGATTTGAACAAAAGAAGCTTTCAAATGCTACACCATGATTTGGCAGCATAGTTCCCTGTGAAAAACAAAACACTAGTAATTCTTCGTATTTTTGTTGAACAAACGCGAGGTATTATTATTCTTTATTCACGAATAAGCTGACGTTTCGGCAGATTTCGCCTTCCTCAGGGCATGGAAAGGTCAAGTTGATAACAATTTACTCAGCCAGACATCTTCATAACCAAACAAAGAAACTCTAAACCAAGAATTCAATCACATTGAACACAGCTTTGCACACTCACGCTTACTATGAGGTTTCCACTAAGTATGTCGCGTGAAGACCAACCGCACAGAAATCACATAGAAGTATAATGTGCCCCTCCCATTAGAATAGCAGTCTTATATACTGCCCTACATCACGCGTGATAATAAAACATTCTTCTCTGTGGCTCATTTTCGGATTTCTGGAATTAATCCAGAATGCCTCGAGAGTTTTTCGCGCCTGTGTTCTTGATTCGTGTGCGAGGATCGTGACACATCCCTCAAAGTCCTCTCGGTTATGTCTCTGGGTCCTATGCGTGCCTAGCGAAGTATTTGGTCTATGTTTGCCGGCTATGTGTTCTTTTATGCGGACACAGAGGGGTCTGCCCGTTTCGCCAATGTATTCGTCACCACACGTCTTACAGGAGATCAGATAAACTATACCCGAGCTCATGCAATCACCGTCTCTACCACTGGGGCAAATCATGCAATTTTGAGTTGCACATAGACGGTCATATAGGCGGTTACGAACTAGCTAACGCTTAAGATTACTCGGTGGTATTTCAACTACGTTTACCGAATTTTCTAAACCCGCCCTTCTTAAGCAGCTATACCTACATCATGTGAGATGAAGAGTAGGATAAGTGGGACCCTTCTATCGCTAGAGTTGTCGTTTAGAGGCCTACACTTACCCTGGATTAATGCCAGAAATCCGAAAATGAACCGCAGGGAAGAATGCCTCATTATCACGCGTGATATAGGGCAGTATATAAAACCGCTTTTCTGATGCGAGGGGCACATTATACTTCCACGTGATTTCTGTGCGGTTGGTCTCTACGTGACATACTTAGTGGAAACCTCATAGAAAGCGGTGAGTGTGCAAAGCTGTGTTCAAAGTGATTGAAATTTTGGTTTGGAGTTTCTTTGTTTGGTTATGGAGGCGTCTGACCGAGTGGATTGCTATCAACTTGACCTTTCCAGGTTCTGAAGAAGGCGAAATCCGCCGAAACGTCAGCTTAATCGTGAACAAAGAATAGTAACACCTCGCGTTTGCTCAACAAAAATACGAACAAAATCACTTGATCAATGCCGAGGTTAATAGAAAGTCGGTCGTGGGAGTTATAAAACACTAGTTTTTCACCAAGTAGTACTGGCTGAATGTTGTTAATAGCTGAAACGCATAAAACCGTGCTTTCCTTACTAGCCCACTGGCAATTACAACAAAAATGTACGCTCACCATGATTTGCGAAATAGTTGACAGTCCACATGTTGAAATCTATTTCAAATCGTTTCTGTTCCCGTTCAGCTCTAAAATGAAGGGATTGGTTAGCTAACCGCTTAAGTATTGGATAGATGCGAAAGTAATGGCGGATTCTGGTTAACATTTTTCAAGCACTATAAATCGGTTGAGAAAACTTATTAGCCAATAAACGACGAACAACTAGGATCCACACAATTACCGACAAGTTACGGTTTTGTTCTCTGCTATTCAACTATTCGGTATGCTAAAGTTCCAACGAATCTCGGATTTACGGCAACGAATTCCTTGATGGAGTTTTCAGAGGCGGCTTAGTTGTTGAATACTTTCTTAGCGAGTGGCTGTTGAAGTGTACGAAAAAATCGTAATCTAATTATGAGTTTGATGAATGTCGCAGATTAGTGGAAGTGTTAGACAGTGATATCATGCATCAAGCCCGGAGCATTTCTGTTAGCCATATCTGAATAAATATGCTGCAATTTTTCTAAAGGATTTCACTTATTTTATGCTGTGCTCATTTTGCACTACTTCAGAATCCTGTCAGTCTTCGATCCGTCTTCACGCCATGAAACAGCTATCGTAACCACAATGTTGTTGAAATGTGAGCAAAACTCGGAACCTCAGGTGAAACTCGAACCCGCTAAGATTATATTAGATTTCTAACCTATTACGATAACCTGTTTTGCTGCTAGTTAGCCTTCGTTCAACGTCGTCGATTTCCTTACAGGATTCACTTTTAAACGCTTTCGCACTTTTAAATATAAGGATGTGGTTAAGAGATGGGTTGTTTTTCGTGGGATAAGGAACACATAAAAATTCATGATGACAACTTCTCAACGATTCATTGAATTCGTGTAGTAGAGAAAAAAGGTTTTGTGGATTAGCTAATGTTGAGTTCTGATCTCTCTCTACTCGTTTTCGTAGGATCAGGCTCAACTCCAGATGCCCTTGCCAAGTGCTTGTAAACGCACACGACGTTCCTCGACGATAGGGCCTATGTCACCAGTGAGAAACTATTCATCTGCAATTACTTCGTCATCACTTCCTAGGCTCTATGGAGCAGAGTAACTAATTTTGAACTCGTTGAGAAAAAAGTTTAAATTCGTTCTGTTGACAGGCGCATGTCAACAATTCAGGGAACAAATGCTTATTACAAAGTATGTTGTAAGCTCACGGTGGCGAAATTTGTCAATATTTTTTTCTCCAACCGAAATAATGGTTTCGGTCAGGGTTCCATCTGTAAATTATCTTTGTTTGAGTGGTTAAACATCTTTATTGTTTTCGTTTGCCGCTCCATGAAAACAATTGCATCTGCTAATTGCATTCTCCTTCTATAAGACACCTTTTTAGAACGCTGAACAAAGTAAAGGGTATGGATTTGAATGAGGTTATACAAGAAAATCCCATCCTCGAGAACGTAACGCGAACAGTGGTATGAGATAATATGGGAGTGGAAATCGATGATCGGCAATTACACCGTCTTCGCTTTGGTGATGACATCGTCCTTATAACACCAAACATTAGCCAAGCGGAACGTATGCTTGACGACTTTGATAAAGCCTGTGGAAAGATTGGTCTTCGACTAAATATCACAAAAACGATGTTCATGAATAACGAATTGGTTTCGCATGCCCCATTCACGCTCAACGAACGAATATCTCCGAATGCTCCAGTTATATCTATCTAGGTCGGGAAATCAGCATGATAAACGACTTAACTCCGGAGAAGGGCAGAAGGAAATGAGCGGTTTGGAGAGCTTTCAAGAGCATCGAGGATGTAGTGAAGAGAACAAAGAACACCCGACTCCGTGGCCACCTTTTCGACCCAACGGTACTTCCTGCCCTAACGTATGCGTCAGAAACGTGGTCGCTGCGTAAATAGGATGGAAAATCACTCAGCTTTATTGAATGCGCAGTCGAAAGGACGATGAAATCGAAAAGACTAGGAGTATCCTTTGTCATGCAAATGAAACTCTGACCAACATTAGAGATCAAAAAGGAAAGACGGCGCTCTGTGCACCAAACAATGGAAGATAAACTGGACTGAACACATAATGCGTATGAACGACAACTTGATGGACAAGGGTCGTAAGTGGCTGAATTCCTCGGGATGTGAAACGCACTGCAGGAAGACCACCGACCCGATGGCCAGAGTCCTTCACGAAGAGCCTAGAAGAAAGATGTGATGCACAAGGAGTGGTTAGAGCGAGCAGAACCCACTGGGCTACTTTTGCACGCGACAAGGAAAAATGGAAGATTTACTGACGCATGCTCGAGTCACTCAACGATCAACGGGGCTACAGGTGATACAGGTGACAGGTGATATGTATATATATATATATATATATATATATATATGCATATGTATTAAATATCGAAGAAACTAATTATAGTGAGCAATACACTTTAAAAAATTTGGCCACAGTGTGGAAGAACTGTGTTTCAATTCGAATAAATTCGGAATACTCTTTTAATTATATGAACATAGTGTAAAATGTGGCGTGCATGGAGCAGTGGATAAACTTCCAGTGCAATAGGTACCATGGTCATTACTTCACATCTGGGGCACACTAACGCATTCGTAATTCTGGGTTGGAAAACTCTTACAGACCTTTCTGGCTGTGTGGAGACAGTAAATTTGTACAATGGCAGATCCCGCAAGTAAATGTATGGAGCAAACATGCCTTTAGTGGTCTCTATGAATGGAGTTGAATGCGTGGTTCTGCGCTAATGGATTAGCCAACGTTGAACATTTTAAAACTATAAAATAAATGGCTAAAATGAGAACGTGTTTGAGTTATTGGAAGTTCAACACAACAAAGTGGATG